GATCAGCTGTTTGTTGTACCTTTAGATATTGTGCAACATGAATAATGCACTCCATGTCTTAGCCTGTACGTGGTTCCCTCTGTCGTTACATCTTCTAATGGGAATTTTAACACGAGTATATATATATATACATATCTGTATGTGTGAACGAGGTTTGGTTCTTATCGATACCAGAGCTCCTGTTAAGTCAAATCAGGTTCTTATGCACCATACCTCTATAATCTTTGCACTCCCCCTCTTTGGATCCATCAACGATTGTTATTCGAAGTCTGGTCATACAAAAGGCTGCATATTCTCATATTACAGTACATGGCATTTTATTGGAAATTTTCCTTTGATAGGGCACTAAACCTTTGAGAAGTCGCTAGTTCTGTCGAACCCACGTAGGGGCAGGGTGCTTTCCATCACCCCTTACTATAACCGTTTTCGTGCATTTGATGAATTTAAGTGAAAGCTATAAGTGTGAAATTCCTCTATTGGAGCATAAGAACGTGGGTTGTAGATGCCTCAAAGGTTATTGAAGGAAGGAGAAGTGTCTTAGTCGAGAGGACAGGTCATCGTACAAGTGTCGGAATATCTTGTAGAGTAGTACATGTATGTTATTATTTTTCGGATTAACGTCCTCGCAGATTCTCAGATCATATGAAGACAGTGTCAATTGATGAGGAAGACATTGGCAGACGCTTTCATAGTGTTATCATACTGAACTGTTATAACCTAGACACGGTAGCACGATACCCCATCCATTCCGATATAATACTGATAACAGTTTTTACCTCAATCCAATACTGAGTCACATCTAACTTGAGTGTGTTAAAGCTTTAAACCATAGCCTATTGGTCGTGGTGGCTGAGTGGTGTAGATGTCTGACCATCTTTAGCATTAGCCCTCAACATCTGGGACGCGGTTCGAATTCTGTACTTTCATTACCGTTTAATCCACCCTCCAACTTGATAATTTTGCACCTATAGCTGTCATTTCTTTAAAACCTATTTAAGGTGATAGGTGGTGATGGGTGGGGAAGGTTTGAATCTAATTCTAACCTCAGTTATTACAGTCTTTACAAATTATCTGCTAGAGTGTTTTAAAATGTGTGGTTTTTTTTATCGCATATCGATTCAAATGAAGTATCATATGACGTAATCTCCAGGTAGAAATGAAATCAAGTATTCCACAGGTAAACACATTACCTAATCAGGTATATAAACATTTCACTTATCTTTCACTTGATTGGATACATCTGAAATTTGAGGTCTATATCTACATCATACTGAGGTGCTTTAATTGGTTTTAGGGTGAGCCAAGCCTTCAACAGTAGCAATATAACCCACCATCCGTCACCATTGATTGACTGGCGGATCAAGTATTTTATTTTTCCGTCCGGGATTGTATGTGTCTGTTCCCCGTACTGGACGTATCTGAATCGACTCAGTGAGGTTAATATTTATGTTCACGAAAGATGTTCACGTAAGACTGGTATAGTACAACAACATTAAATGGTTGACGTCATAACACACGCACTGCTTAATCGACTGATCATACATATATCCCTTTACAACCAAATTCGCTGTACTGCCACGTGTGTTGTGGATACATGAAAACGGATGACAGTTAAATGTTTTTAGAAAATGGCCATATGTTAAGTATATATTGTCAGTTCCGTGGTTTTCCTAGCATAAATTAGTTTCAATTCAACTTTGATGAACACACCCTCCTTTCATTCTTAGAGATCATATTTTCGCTTGTAATCTCATCCTTTGTTCTTCACTATCCAAATATCTTTCGTTTTCGTTTTTCATATCCCCTATGATACCTACTTTCCGTTTTCATACATATATTTCTTTCTTACATGTCCAATATCACTAGCATGTGATATCCTGCTTTCTGGTCTTAGATATCTTGTCATTGTGTTTATATATATATATATATCCCCCTTTCGCTATTGCTTCAATACAGTGTTATGTTTACCAAGCTGAAGGTCAATGATAAAAATAAAGAAAACAAAAATTCCCTAAGGATATTGTATACGGCCTGTCGAAAACATTGGATCTTCCGAAAGTGTTTCATCTTTCATCCGTAAGAAATACTGATATGTTTACAACGTGCGTGGTGTCATTGAACACTATATTGCGAAATTTTTGAAAAGCATATCTATAGTTAATTAAAAATTCGACAAAGACGGCAAATGTTATCTTGGAATATTAAGAATCGTTTGATTGACCCATTCTTCAACAGTTGGTCCTCCATAGTTGACCACATTGATTTCTGATAGAGATTTATTGTCATTTTGGCGTAAAATGTTCACGCGAAACAGAAGGTCTTTATAGAAGTTGAAGATTATTTGACATTCAGTAACATGATTTAAAAAGATATGCCTTTGAAATGAGTCAGTTACTATTGTCATAGCGCATAAAAAGTATATGTTGGGCCTCCCGTTTGTTGTTCAGTGAAATGGTCACCAGCTACTTCAAGGAGGCCAAGCCTTAAAACAACACTGGCTGTTCAGGGGAAACAAGCACTAGTACAGAAATGAAAATCGCTTGATGTTTGAGTGGAGACTTGTTTGAATTCACTCTTTAGTAACTTTAAAGCTCCAAAGAAACGACTTCAGTGAAATGAATGAAAACTCCATTTTAACGTGATCGTTGTAAATATGTGGATCGTGAATTCGGCATACCGTACTCCGGATTTGTAAGATCTGATTTCATCACGTGACTGACAGCGTCTGTCCAGACTCGCTAACAGGATTTTATTCATTTCTTATGATATTGGTTTTCCTATTAACTCCGTTATAGGGGGTCTTTTGTGACTCAGGCTAGAGAACCTGTTGTCTGTGGACGTGACCCCCCACATATCTATATACCCCAATGTTCACCTGACGTGGAACGACAATCGACCCCCTGCGGAGTGTACGTATACTCCATCTAGTATACTAAATATTTGTAACTTTAGTTACCGCATTGTTATGACACCAACTTTACTATTTCAATTACGTTTTAACTTTTTAAATGTGTTGGCAATTGTGTTCAAAATGAACACAACTCACACGTATACATACAGAGCGTGTTTTAAATCTATCTTTTGGACGAGCTAATATTATGTGCAAAGTATCTATTGAAAATCGGTTTTTATTGTATGTAATTAAATTATTAAAATAGGGTCAGTAATTAAGGAGAACCGCTACCTGTGCGAGGTCATTCATTCGTAATGTGTGTTCCGCATGACTGATCTCCTATGCCACTGTGCTACATAGTGACGGAAGACAATACCTCTCATTAGACAATTACTACCCTGAATAACCCCATCGTTGTTTAGACCCGAAAAGAATCTCGCTGTTACTACAACTTAGTTAAATGGACTCGGCTTCTTTATGTTTGTTTTTCAACTTAATTGTTCGTCAACCTTTAAACGAAAGAGAAAACATTTTAATGGGACCGACTGCCAATTAGCTTGTCTCGCGATAATCCGTGGAGCTGACAGCAATTGTTATTTGAAGGTCTGTGTGAAAAAAATTGTTCTTGAACGCTTCAATAGATTTGTAAAGCTGTCACCTTTTTAGGCCCAGTTTACATATGTTTATATAAAGAGACAACATGGGAGGATATTGTAATGGAGACACCGACAAATAACTGTGTTTCTGCTGTGTTTCAGATGTTTGAAATAGACTGGAATCTTTGGGAGCGATTATGACATCATACCCGGGACTAGTATTCCCGACCCCCGGGATTTACTCAGGTAAGACGACCACTGCCTGCATACAGTAAGATCTGTTAAATGATATATATGTGTATAGTAACAAAACAAAAGGCTCAATGTATCAAAACATACTGCACTCGACGACTTTTGATGTGTAAAACAGAGGTATTACATATCAAGGGGCGTTTCTGTATGTAAGGAATAATACGTTCATTTATATCTGTAGTTATTTCTAACCTGTAATGAAATTTGAAGTGAGTGTTACGAGAGTAAAGTGTATTTATATTTCAGAAAATAGTCACACTATGTTCTGAAGAAGATTTTTCCACACGAAAAACTAATGGCTAATAGAAAAAAAAGACTGAAGGAATCAATCAAGTAGACTTCCCAAAATATTCAATTTTATTTGAGATTTAGGGATTGAGGAAGGGGGTATGATGGTGGGGGGGGGGGGGGGTCAGTTCATATCAAGCTTTCCTAAGATGTGAGTTCTGGGTCGTGGGAATCGGAAGTTGATGATACATTTACTTCAATTCACTGGTGTTATCTTTATTTTAGTATTAACAAGCACGTGCTATGAACCTTATTTAGGTCAACACATTTATAGTTTTCAGATGAACATAAAAATCGGACACATCATGAGGTCTCAAATGCTGTAAGAACATTTTTGTTGACCTATGGCGGTCCGGAAGGCATTCTCTAGACTGTATTCTATATTACTGTATGTGTTTTACACACATCAACCCCTCCACTAACACTGGTAACAATGAAAGATGAATTACGAAAATTCAGAGGGATTGTCTCCGGTCAGTGTTGATTATCTCGGACAATGCTAGGCACGTGGCTAATGACATCGATTCATCAATCTTATTTCCTCTCCTTAATTGAATTTAAGAATATGACTAATGACTTCCGGTTGGTGTTAACATTATCTTTCGTTGATCAGTATAGGAAATGTAATATATGTATTATGCAATAACTAATAACTTCCGGTCACAGATTACACTAATTCATTCATTGTAATAACCATGACTAGAAACGCGTGGGTTTTTTCATAAGGTAAAACACGCGCCGCATTTATTTATTGAAATAATGTACATTCATGTACAAAGGAACGGCATGATAATTGAAATGTTGATGTATTTCAGATGCGGATGGCCTTTTTCACTTCGATTTGAATACTTCACCTAGCCAACTTCTATGATGGAGTCCAAAGCTTGTGTTTTCGTGGGATTGGATTCATGTTGAGTGGAGAACCTACCAAGTGCAACATTTGAATAATTTTGACGTCACTACCGGTTCAGATGTATCTGAACCATCAGCAACCGTCATCGACCATGTTAAAATACACGATAGCCAGTGACGAGGGATCGTTTTCCCCCGCACACCGGCCTGACAATCCCGAAACTTATAATATCAAAGAGTCCTTGGAAACTAGTGCCAACCCAAGAACACGTGCTAAAATGGTTATGAAAAAACGTGCCAAACATGTTCAAAAGCGGGCTAGTGAGTATGCCATGCTTCCTCCAATCAACGGACCTCACAACTACCGGAAGGAGATAGCAACGCCGTATATCAACAATGCCACGTCGACACACGAGGCGCTGGAAACGCCGTATACAAACGCACTCGGGATTTCCCGCCTCCATGACGTAACGACTCCCTACATTATGAACACGCACATATCTAAGATGGACGGCATGTCTCCACTTCCTTGCCGGGAATATACTCTTGCTGGGAAGGAACATTTCACAAAAATGGGAAGTCTCGCTCACGGGGGCACTAATATCGTGGAAGTCTCGCACATGAGACAAGACTCGTTTGCACACGAGACTATCACGAAGCTCCAGTCATCCTCGCCATATATAGAACGGAAGTCAAGATATGATAGGAAACCTAATAAATATATTTCGGAAAAATCAGACTTAGATCGAAATAATTCCAAATTACATATACAAAGTAATCAAATCGGATTAATAGACCGAACAGAAAGACATCGGGCGCGTGTTATTCATGGTAACGAACCATTCTCCATTCGGAAGAAAATTGAACAGTTTCGCCGCTGGCATGAAGAACAATATAAAGAGAAACTAAAAAAGTTGAAAGACGAAATTGACAATCAATTTGAGGCTGAGCAACGAAAAATGACCAAATCTACCTTAAAGTCGAACAGGACGAAACACAGGGAGGAAAATGTAAACAAGAATAAATCGGATCCGAAAATTGAGAATGAGTCCGAGGACAGAGGGAAAGAAAACAAAACAACGACAAAAGATAGCAGTAAAAGCCCGGACGACGGACATACATCGGGGCATGCGCATAACGACAAACAACAAATGGAAGTTGAGGAAGTTGGTAGTGGAGATGTTGTCAATGATAACACCGGATCCGAACACACCTGGCATACTTGGCGAGACGTGAACGAATCGTATGCTTACAATGACGTCACCAAATATATCGAGGATAATGAACTTATGACTGTAGAAAAGTTAGATTGGATTAAAAACTGGATAGTTGATGTAGAGAAGGCTCTTGGCGAAGCCGATGATGACGATGACATTTTGTGATGTTGAAAGTGTTAATTTTGTTCCGAGTGGATTTAATGTTTTAGGATCGACGAAAAATACGGATTACGGATATATCAAAATGTCTGTGATTAAGCTACATGGTTTGTGTAGGAGAATTTACTCCCATGGAAGTTGAGTATCCGGAATGTAACGAGATTCTGTAGAGGCGCTTCAGTGTACTGTTAATGTCTTCTTATGTGTTGATCATAACTGATTATGACGTCATCACCTCTAGTCCACTGGCCTCGTTAAGGATCTCCTACACCGGAATCTTCTGAAGCAGCCAAATACTGTGATAACTTGGGCGGAACTTCACCGTCCGTATAACAATGTCTTTCATTGATGTCCGTTCTATGCTAGATATTTTGCCTGTGTAGGGTTGTTTGTTTCAAAATGACCAGAGAGTGAAGTAGTACTTTATGTCCGTTTTTATCCCGTTTTTCAATGATAAATTAAATCTACGTTATTTTAAAAGTCAAATGTTTAAGTGTTTTCAAAACATATACAAATATAGTCATGCGCACATCAAAAAACACATGGCTGTTTGATTGGTCAAGCAAGTTAGTTGACAAGAAAAGGATCAAGTTTCCGAATGTTAGTATTTTAACAAGAATTATCGGTTCTGACACACATAACACGTACATGGTCACGAACATTTTAAATAGGCGACCCATTATGAACCACGAGACCATCTTAACCGTTCCTACGTTACGTGTATGTACATTTCCACCCACTTAACCGTTCCTATGTTACCTTTAAGTACCTTTCCACCCACATTACACAACACATATGCAGTTTATTGGATGTCTATGTATTGCACAAATTGCCGGGGAATTGTGATAGACATATAGACAGAGGCTTAATCCCTTAGTGTATTTCTAGGGATGATTTACATATCGACAATGGAATTCCGAGTTTCAAGTCCTCGATTTATAAAGTTAAAATATATTTAAATGGCACGCGACCAATGTAGGAACTTGCTTCCTGCTGCACGCCCATTTAAAAGCGTGCTTATATCCATGTCACATTCCTTCCCGTTCTGTTCCAATTGGAATATTGCCGTCACCCAGTCGACTTCATATCTATATACAGATAGACCAATTAGTTACCAGCGCAACCTCAGATGAATGTTGGAGGTGTGTGGCTCGACACTCCGTATCCGAGGTAGTTTGTGTAAGTCAGGAAGCGGACTTGTCTGTGTTGTTGTGGTGGATTTTTATTTTTTTAATTTAGTATTTAATCATGCTTTTGATGACATGCGACGGGCCTCCCTTATGTTGTTCAGTGAAGTAGTCAATAGCTACGACAAGGAGGACATGCCTCTAAATAACACTGGCTGTTGACAGGGCGTCAAATTCAGCAAACAAACACCATATCTGATCAGATTTACATAGTGTATATATAGAGGCAAAATATAGGATTATGTCACATGTGTTAGAAATTTCACGGACGAACTCCTGTTTGTTGTCAAGGTCAATGTCGCCTTTTTATGGAATATTTGTCTTACTATTACACATTCATGTGCTTATCTAGAGTGAATAATTCAAGTCTTTCAAACGTTTTATATGATTGACACATTATTCAGAAAGATTGTTTTTACACAAATTACGGCACCTTGCAGTGTGCCAAAATCTTTATTGAAAGCCTTTGGGAGTGTCACAGTTTGGTGTAAGATATTACACTCGGAAGAGAATAGAGCGCCGTGAATAGTGTTAATTTTTGTTGAAAAGAACACTACATCCTATTGCAGTGCACAACATCTTCACAGGAGGAATTTAATTCTGAACATATATATAGATATGAACGACACTTTCACGGTAACGAATTACCCATATTTCAGCGGCGGCAAATTCCAACTCAGAACGGCATAACAACACGAACACGTGTGTTAACGTACTGTAGAGCTAGTAATAGGTGTGAGGACACAGATTCGAAACTGCACAAAGAGTAATCGCCAACACAATGCAAATACATTATTCAGAAAGATATGAAGCTCCACATCATCCATTTTTAACATTACTATATCATGTTTTTAATAAAAAAATTGTTATAGTATCATCTAATGACAAAACTATCACCCATGCCAACACATATACTAATTCTATCTGAGCAATATAGTGTGTGATATTGTAAACTCGCTTCCAATTCCCGAGTCCCTGTCACATAGCGAGTGCTAACAGCACTGTGTCATTTATATCGGTTCCTGTGTTAACACTTGCGCGGTGTCACATTTCCCCGGTACTTCTGTTAGAACTTTCGCGGTTATGTATCTCCCCTGTGATACCACTAGCTCGGTGTGTCATATCCCCGGTCATTACCTGTGGTATACACTACCCATGCAGATACTAATTCTATGTCAATATAGTGTGTGATATTGTAAACCGGCCCCTAGTGGTAACACTACAGATGTCTATCAGCCCTGTGTCACTATCAGGATGTCATATATCCCGGCCCCTAGGGTAACACTAGCAGAGTGTCATATATTCCCGGCCCTTGTGGTAACACTATCAGGATGTCATATCCCCGGCCCCTGTGGTAACACTATCAGAGTGTCATATATCCCCGGCACCTGTGGTAACACTATCAGAGTGTCACATATACCCGGCCCCTGTGGTAACACTATCAGAGTGTCACATATACCCGGCCCCTGTGGTAACACTATCAGGGTGCCATATCCCCGGTCCCTGTGGTAACACTATCAGAGTGTCACATATCCCCGGCCCCTGTGGTAACACTATCAGAGTGTCACATATCCCCGGCCCCTGTGGTAACACTATCAGAGTGTCACATATCCCCGGCCCCTGTGGTAACACTATCAGGGTGTCATATCCCCGGTCCCTGTGGTAACACTATCAGAGTGTCACATATCCCCGGCACCTAGGGTAACACTATCAGAGTGTTACATATCCCCGGCCCCTGTGGTAACACTATCAGAGTGTCATATATCCCTGGTCCTTGTGGTAACACTATCAGGGTGTCATATATCCTCGGCCCTTGTGGTAACACTATCAGGGTGTCACATATCCCCGGCCCTTGTGGTAACACTAGCAGGGTGTCATATCCCCGGCCCCTGTGGTAACACTATCAGGATTACATATATCCCCGGCCCCTGTGGTAACACTATCAGGGTGCCATATATCCCCGGCCCCTGTGGTAACACTATCAGGGTGCCATATATCCCCGGCCCCTGTGGTAACACTATCAGGGTGTCATATCCCCGGCCCTTGTGGTAACACTAGCAGAGTGTCATATATCCCCGGCCCCTGTGGTAACACTATCAGAGTGTCACATATCCCCGGCCCCTGTGGTAACACTATCAGAGTGTCACATATCCCCGGCCCCTGTGGTAACACTATCAGGGTGTCACATATCCTCGGCCCTTGTGGTAACACTATCAGATTGTCATATATCCCCCGACCCCTGTGGTAACACAATCAGGGTGTCATATATCTCCGGCCCCTGTGGTAACACTATCAGGGTGCCATATATCCCCGGCCCTTGTGGTAACACTAGCAGGGTGTCATATCCCCGGCCCCTGTGGTAACACTATCAGGGTGTCACATATCCCCGGCCCCTGTGGTAACACTATCAGGATTACATATATCCCCGGCCCCTGTGGTAACACTATCAGGGTGCCATATATCCCCGGCCCCTGCGGTAACACTATCAGGGTGCCATATATCCCCGGCCCCTGCGGTAACACTATCAGAGTGTCATATATCCCCGGCCCCTGTGGTAACACTATCAGAGTGTCATATATCCCCGGCCCCTGTGGTAACACTATCAGATTGTCATATATCCCCGTCCCATGTGGTAACACTATCAGGGTGTCACATATCCCTGGCCCCTGTGGTAACACTATCAGAGTTTCATATATCCCCGGCCCCTGTGGTAACACTATCAGGGTGTCACATATCCCCGGCCCCTGTGGTAACACTAGCAGGGTGTCATATATCCTCGTCCCATGTGATAACACTAGGTCGGTTTCTTATTTCCTTGGTCCCTGTGTTTATTCTGGCGCCAAACATTTCGACATGTCCACTTAATATTTAGGGCATATGGCAGTGACGGAGAACGGTTCAACGACGACCGTCTTGATTATAAAGCATTGATCTCAATATGTTATACAATTCATTGATCTATAAACACGTCTTGTATTGTTTGAGAAGCATTTAATCGGTCGGTCTATATTGTTCTCTGGTGTAGATCTCACACTAACGAGGCATCGAGTAGTGGGCTGGTTTAACGGATATCAATATTCGGTAATTATACATATACTTCTTTAGCATTACTCGTTAGATATCAGAGACAGCTGTAAGTAGATAGTTCTCCTGATTACTTCCATACGTGTAAGATGCTAATTCTAATTACTCAGAAAATAAGCATAATTTTTCTGAAAATTACAACTAGTTCTTAAACAGCTGAGCTGATTTTGACTACATTTGGTCTCAACCCCCTACAGCCGGAGGAGCGGGACCAAGGAATTAAAATATAGCTCATTCTTTAAAATCTTCATCTTCCACGAGAAACACATGATTCTGCTGAATTTGGTCTGAAGCATCCTTGGGTGAATTGAAATCAGTTTTGTATAAACGGTTGATCTCATTCCCCTGAAGCAGGAAAGACAGGACCTGGTTAATCGGGAAATTGAGCAAAGTCTTTAAAATCCATTTTCTACTGAAGAAATGTCAGGATTCTGTCCCGATTTCCCCCTGAAACATGCCTAGTTGAAAGGAATCCTATTTTGCATCAACACGGATTCTGACACTTAAAGTGTGAGGTCCAATAGGGGTAATGTATAAATTCAGTAAAATCCTTCTTCGTACACAGGTATTGTCCAAGCTGGGTCTCAAGCATTCTTTGTCATAAACGATTGGTCTGACTTGTGTTTTACCACAAGGCCGAGGCCAAATCAGGATTTTATTGAAGAGATTTTTTTTCATATTTTTCAATTCTTCGTTAAATGACTAAATAATTGAATTAGCCATATTTAGTTCTCA